GATTCTTGTTTGTCAGACGAATTAAATGCAAAATATGATTGAAATACAAGAAGTAATGACCGCTCCCTTTGTTCTCTATATACAATCCATAAGAAGATTAAATTATTAGCTCATAATCTAATGATTATATCAATAGACAAACCAATAAGACTTTTGCGAACGGAAGCGTTTGAAGAATATTCCGGTGGAGGAGATCCCAAGACTAAATCAATTGGACTCATGGCTGCGATCTATAAATATATAGATATTTGTATTTTAATCAAAAATTTCAATTCATTTGATGACTACCTTTTCAGGTGTAATGCTTTCAATAGAGTCAACAAATAAAACGCTATTTTTATTATAATTTCTCGATATTTCGATGGCATTTGTGTCCGATTCAGAAGAATAATAGGCATCTATTTTGAGACCCAACTTCTCAAGAGCTAGTTTTGCTACAAACATAACAAATATTAAAATCTATAAAACTTAACAAATTATGATTAATAGAAAGAAAAATACCAGAAGAGATGCCGTCCATCAGTGATAAGACTCTAATTGGTTTTTTCTCATTAGAATATTCTTGTATTGCGTTCAGAGATTTCAATGTATTGGCCAACGGATCAAAAAGGATTTTGACATTAAATCTCCAATTGGGGCGAACTCTCAGAAGTCCTATTTCTTGTAAATTCGGTTTACAGACAAAACACTCCCATTTCTCCATTTCCAAGATCTTTGTTCGAATAGTTTTAATTATTTTTTAAAATAAAATAATGAATCAAAAACTAAAATAATTACTTTCAAATGAAGACCGTTGCCAACCAACAAATCAATACATTTCAAACAATAAACTCTAAACAAAACAAATATTAGAAAATTGCAAAAATAGAAATACAGCAAATGTATAATACCGGTGACAGATCTCGTTCTCACAAATTGCAAGTTTTCCCAATTGTCCACAAATTGCACAAAAAGACTACAAATAAATGGCATTTTATAATTAACTAGAAATTGTAAGTAATGATAATAAATACATTTTTATGGTCAGCTCCGGGCGCATACATTGTCACCCGAATGTTGTCATAGCAGAGCCGACATAAGCCGCCCTCAAATATTGGGTGTTCGAGGAGTGCCTTCGAGTCATTGCCAGCGAGTGCTTCGGCATCACAACAACAGGCGATACAGATCTGAGTGATGGCCA